GGTATACACAACTCGCGTTGCTAGGTAGCTGTGGTCGTCGCTATGTACATGGGCCATGCATTAGTGGAATGGTAAGTAGTTGAAGGATGTAGTAATTCGTATAACCATGGCAACAAATCACTTTAACTACATTATCAAACATTTCAAAATATATTTTATAATCATTTCTGCTGTTCGGGCACACTTGGTTGTAAAAGCGTGCCGTAATTTTGCGGTATTTTACGGGGTATTTTCATCCTACCATATATAGGAAATGCGAATTCCAAATATGGAATGATTACGCGCGTAAGCGTACTCTAATAATAAAAACAAACATGGCTGCCACCAGGGTTTGGTCGGACTCCACACAAAGAAGTTCGCTGATTCTGTTCTAAACTTTTTGGATTTCGGCATTCCCTTAGGCCAGACTTTTATTATCTCTAGTTTTGCGAACTCGCCGAATAAACAGGAGCCGAAAATGAAATAAAAATAAAATTTTATTTCAGCGTAATTTCTCACGCTCGCCAACTTGTAAGTGCAAAAAATTGCTAAAAAAATATTTTTATCTTCATTTTTTTCCGCCCGCCGCATAACAAACCCAAGTTGCATTTTCGTGGAGGTACCATGATCAAAGTACCGAAGTCTCGCGCAGATGAGAAACAAGGTTATACATGGAATCACATTTTATTTCATTTCTTCTCTCCGATATTTTTATCTTCATTTTTTTCCCGCCCGCCGCATAACAAACCCAAGTTGCATTTTCGTGGAGGTACCATGATCAAAGTACCGAAGTCTCGCGCAGATGAGAAACAAGGTTATACATGGAATCAAATTTTATTTCATTTCTTCTCTCCGATCAATGATCTCACTTACAATTTTTGAGAATCACACAAATATAATGGAAAAAAAGATTTTTTTTACACCCTCCTCAAAAAATTGCCTTATAAATCTTCGAGAAACAAGGAATAAAAAAAGTCTGGAAAAGATGTATAATAATAAGGTTATTACGAGGATACCACAAAGTATGCACTCAGACAGTACGCCGTCGCATCGACCCCCGCTGCGCGTCGGTCTTCGTGCATATTCGAGGGTATCCTCGTAATAACCTTATATTATATATGCAACACTGAACATTGAAATCTTTCACTAACAAATAAATGCACATATTACTAAAAACTGACTGGAGAGCCCGTATGTAAATGGTGACCAACATTTCCTTGTGAAACCGGCATATTGAAATACATTGTACACTCTTTCACCGTTTACAACATGGAATCATTTGCATTGTGAGCAACATTTTCCCGAATTTTTGCTCATCGAATTGTACCCACCACTTACCCAACACCCTTGAATAATATATCAGGAAACAAAAAAATAATCCAAATAATCCAATAATCACGATCCCAAAATCGATCGAGAAAAGAAGATATACTAAACTAGAAACACCAGTAGAAAATAACAACAAATTTGAATAATGTAGAAAGGAAATCATTTTATTCTTATATTACTCTTTCTCTGTGACCTCAAACAATACTATTATAAAATGAGAAATACACAAACGCAAATATGACAGGAAAATACGATTCAATTAAGAGATCAATATAAAGATTACCATGAATTCAGCATTTGCCAGAGTTATAAAAACGATATAAATATTTTTTAAACGGTAACCGTTACACTATGTCAGCAGGGTTAAATGTGTCTTTGTGTTGCATTTTCATTACGTTTGAGTATGCTGACATTCTTAATAACTCGATTTACATTTTTTTAGTAGCTTATATGTTTTAGTTTCTGTAGGATACTTCATTTCTATTATCGAGATTGTACTTGTATTGCGTTTGTACTTATTTGGAGGGGGGGTCAAATAACCAATGTTAAGCCTCTGTTACCCGCAGTTTGAGAAAAGGGTCATTAACGTACACTGGGGACGAAAAACAAAACGTGAATTACAAAACAGGTAATCGCCATATATATCACGACCAAATATTGCACAAAATGTACTTTAACGTGTTAAAAAGTAATATACGAGGTGGCATGAAAGTTACAACTGTTAATTCCCCTCGTCAGATTAATACTTTTTTCCTGGACGGTTATAAGAAACATAGACGAATATATTCATTTATATACTTTTAGATTTGAACTGCGATATACATCTGGCGCCGAATGGAAGTCTTCCAATTGTGGCTCTCGCCAGTTGTCCAGGATCTGGTAACACGTGGGTGCGATATCTCCTGGAACAAGCAACGGGAATTTATACTGGGTCTGTTTATCATGACAAACGACTGCAGCGGGGTGGTATGTTTTATTAATTTGATACCAATCCATGTTGTTATTTTCTAATTATGATATGTATACCACATGGCCGAAATGATCGGGTCCAACCTTAACCAAGCCCTCTATCGACG